CTCAGGTCCCATGCTAACCTACATCTACCTATTTTGTATTTTGCAAAGTAGTACGCTATTTTTTGATGGTCTAGTATTTAAAATGAGCCTCCCATCTCAAGTTTTATAATTTCTTTGAGAGCCTTGATTTCAAATGTGCTGGGGGAAAAAAAAAATCTGCCTTAACAGAACAGAGTTCGTATGATTGCATTACCATAACTGTACTTACATTCATGTAATCATACAGCCTTTCTGAAGCGGTTCCTACTGATAGAGTAATATCTGCAGGGAAGCAATGCAGGTACCTCCGAGCAAAAATATCGGGGTGGTGATCCCGCCAGAATTCTTCTAATTCTCCCTTTTCTTTAAGTTGTTTCTTGATAGATTTGAATCGAATGAGCGGGACTCTATGCAAATAAAAGAAATACACAAAGTCTAACTGGATCTCCTTTCTAGAGTTCTCATACACTATTTTTCTTCAGTATCTTTTCAGAGACCTTGGGTAACGCTAAGCATGGGTCACCGCGGGCAGCCACCTGAGACACGAGGCGCAAGCTCTTACCGTTCCACGGCCACGGCAAAGGGGATGTAAACCACCGCCAGCAGTATCACCCTCATGTCTTCAGCTGGCTCCGAGTCCAATGACACTCATTTACTTGGAATTCTCTTTTTTATACCTCGTCGCTAGCAGAGGGCCGTTCGCCAGGTCAATCAATTACAGGAGGTCATAGCTTTGGCAGCAAGTTGATGAATTTGTTCTCAGAGCGACTGCTGGATTGTGTAAATATTGGTGCTCAGCGAAGCTGGGCACTGATAACCAGGGCACAGTCTAGACCAAAAATACATTTCGCTAACAATCATTAGTTTCTTTCACATAAATATAATAAACAGGGGAAGTTTGGCTCCTGCTAGCATGGGAAATAGTGTAAGCTGCTTTTCAAGCTTGCTTTAGTGATGCTTTAGTATCCCAGGAGTGTCCAAGGCAGAGAAAGAGGACAAAATATATGTGTGTTTCACTTTTACATGGAGACATTTCAACAGGACTGAGCACATGGACATTTGGTCCGGTTGTAAGAAGCCAACCCCTAACAACTGAAGATTAATTCTCCATTTATGTGTGAGTTCTGGTCTGAACTAAGTGTGATTACCACCCAAAAAAAAAAAAAAAACAAAAAACTTCTTCTAAGTAAAAAAGATGACAGCCTGCAACACACAATAATAAACAGCCAGTGTTTTTCTCCCATCACACAGCTGCTAAAGCTGTTTCTAGCTGAGGCTCTGCTGTGCACATTTCAGCAGGATGTTTGGAAGCACTCGCTCGGGTCGATTTACCCAAGAGTTTCCTGAGGTTCACCGTTCCCACCCCTGCCTGGCATCTGGGTTCATGTCAGGCTGGCAGAAAAGTAATGGTGTCAAAAAGAGACTCTGAGCTGACAGGTGGCGAAGCAAAGCCCGTTAGCCTATCAAGTAATTCTCAGCATATAATAAAGACATTTTTAAAACATTGTTCCTTCAAGCCCCTTGACTTACTATGTCAAATTGACAAAAGAGAGGTGTGAGAGCCTTAAAATTAATAAATGTAGATCTCACTTTGTGAGATCAACATTTTTGATCTCACATTTGATCTCACATTTGTGAGATCTCCTATGCATTTTGAAATACATGTTTTGCTTTTTCAAACTTACCTCCAAAATTGTAAGGGCTACAAAAGACATTCTCAGCAAAGGCTGAGCTGGGCATAGCCCCACAGCTGTGTGCAGGGCTTTGGCTCTGAGAAAGCAAAAAGATTTTTATTCTAATATTTGGTATAAAATAAAAAGAAAAAAAAATCTCAAAAATGCAGTAGTAACACACAACTTTTATATTGATTTACATTTGATGTTTCCAAAGTGTCTAGCTTTGATCAGGGTCCTCTGTTGTTTCTGGACTCAGCCATTTTACAAAAATTTTCAACAAGCAGCTGTGCTTTCTGTCCAGCAGCCATCCCAGCCACTGGGCTACGGGACCTTCGTGTTTCAAATGAGAAAAGCGAGTGAAGATCTGCACAGAGCAAGAGATGTGGCCATCAGTGAGCTTTCAGAAAGCAGCAGCATTTCTGAAGAAACCCACAGAAACTCCTCTGTGGAGCAGAGCTGATGTCGTGCCCTCTGGTACGGCACTGTCACTTTGACAAGAGCAAGGCAACGTCTGTGCTGAGCGCCTTTATCGCTTGAACTTTTCCTCAAATGCCACAAATGCTTCTGGGAAGTCATTATATACTCGTGTTGTAGGGCATCAGGAGCGACTCGGAAGACATGAAGTGACTTTCAAAATACTGCTCTGGGTCTGCAGAGGGGACTGTCTCTGCCTCATGTCCTCCGCAAAGTCACTAATTCTCAGAAGGATCAAGAATGTTCATGTTATTGCAAATGTAGGCCTTTATTATCCCACAACATGAAGGTTATTTTTCCCCAAGTACACTGATCTCACAGCGTGTTCCAAACAGGCTTTCATTTAGCCAACAGAGGTACAAAATGCAGCAACAAAAGGTCATCGTGACTTTTTTTGATAAACTGGAATAATGATTAAACAACAATGCAGAGGATACCTAAGAAATAACTTCCCGGAGCTTAAAAGGTTCATTCAGTAAAAATAATTCAAGTAGGAAAACAAAACAAAACAAAATATATATACGTGTGTTTATAGACATAAGGTATATTGCAAAGTTGTTTCTCTATATAGAGGTTATTAAGAAAAATATATCTAAACTACATTATTAACATCCTTTTACCTAGAGTTTTATGCTGTTGTGATCAGCAGAATATCTGAAGGGATTTGCCTAAGGGACATGTCTTTGTTGGGGGTGTAAATTTCATCACTCAGCACTTTTTATTTCTGCCATGTGCATTTGCTCCTCCACACCTGCAGCAGAGCAGGCAGCCTTCTTCAGCAGGCACCGTGGCCTCAGGAGTGGCAGAAATGCCAAAATCCAGCTGAGGGCCATAAGACTGTTCTCTGAAGTGAGAGCACATCCCGGGGTAACTGCCTGGGGAAGGAGGCCCTGCGAAAAGCAGACATGGGACGTGCCCCATGGCAGGCCTCTGCAGGGAGCGCAGTGGTGGCCCGGTGAGGCCTGCTGGGTGCAGATGGGCGCTCAGAGCTGGGCAGCGCCTCCCACCCCTGTAGTGAGAGGATTTTCAACACCACCCTTCCACAGCAAGGCAACTTGCTGCAATGTGTCCTTATTCTCCAGGCTTGACGCGCTGCCCAGCTTCTCTGTGCTGTTTTACAGGCCTCAGGTTGCGGTGCTCACTGTTCTCCATCCCACTGCTACGCTGGTCCTCACCTGCCCTCTCTGTCGCTCTCCTCCCCCTGTAAATCCTACGTACGCGTCATGCCATCACATCTGCACGGCACACACACTCAAAAACATCCTATAGCCCGTACCCAATTCATATTTAAGAGCTGTTTTACATTTAAAAGCAAGTGATTGGCAAGCTCTGCATCATCATATTTGACCAGAGATCATGAGGCCACCTTAACTGTTTGATATTGCCTTTTTTTCAATCTTCTGTTTGTTCTGCATTTTGTTGTTCCACGAATACCATGTATTTTGACTGTGCAGCACTCCTGGAAAGTGACTGCGGATTGCTTGAAGAAAATATCCTCCCTAAGTTATAGTAAGTGTGGAAAAATGGCAGCAATAAGTTGCAGATATCAAAGATAACAGCCAGCTGCCAGAAAGGCTGCTTCAACATTAAACACTGCCAGCTTTCAAATCCAAAGACCATGACATAGCCATGGCTGACACACTTGTGGGACAACCCACAAGAAAGCTTAAATCAACAGCAGCACAAGAGGTCGCAATACAAGAGGTGAGAAGGTTGCTCTGAAGAAACAAAAGTGTTCCTGACCTGAATGGCACTTGTCTTGCCAAGAGTAAGGAGAACAGCTCACACAGCATAGTCACATCTAAATAGTTATCACTTGCAACATCATATTTCACAGAATCATAGAACCACAGAATGGTTTGGGTAGGAAGGGCCCTCAAAGCCCACCCAGCTCCAACCCCCTGCCATGGGCAGGGACACCTCCCACCAGACCAGGTTGCCCAAAGCCCCATCCAGCCTGGCCTTGAACACCTCCAGGGATGGGGCATCCACAGCTGCTCTGGGCAGCCTGTGCCAGGGCCCCACCACCCTCTGACTAAAGAATTTCCTCCTAAAATATAATCTAATCTCCCCTCTTAGTTTAAAACTGTCCTCCCTTGTCTTACCACTATCTGCCCACGTAAAAAGTCATTCTCCATCTTTTTTATAAGCTTTTTTATATCTTCTTTGAAGTATAAAAAGGCTGCAATGAGGTGTCCCTGGAGCCTTTTCTTCTCCAGGATGAACATCCCCAACTCCCTCAGCCTGTTTTTGTAGGAGAGGTGCTGCAGCCCTCTGAGCATTTTCATGGCCCTCATAAGGACTCACTCCAACAGGTTCACATCCATCTTGTGCTGGGGCCCCCACACCTGGACACAACACTCCACGTGCAGAGGGGGACAATCCCCTCCCTCACCCTGCTGGCCACCCCTCTGTAGATGCAGTCCAGGATGGAGTTGGCCTTGCAGCCCACACTGCTGGCTCATGTTGAGCTTTTCATCCCCCACAACCCCCAAGTCCTTTTCTGCAGGGTTGCTCTCAATGAGTTCCTCTCCCAGCCTTTACTCATGTCTGGGATTGCCCCGACCCAGGTGCAGCACCTTGCACTTGGCCTTGTTGAACCTCATTAGGTTCACATGGGCCCACTTCTCCAGTCTGCCCAGGCCTCTTTGGATGGCATCCCTTCCTTCTGGTGTACTGACCGCACCACTCAGCTTGGTGTCATCTGCAAACCTGCTGAGGGTGCACTCAATCCCACTGTCTATGTCATTGATAATGGTATTAAACAGCACTGGTCTCAAGACAGACCCCTGAGGGACACAGTTTATCACCGGCCTCCCCCCAAACATAGAGCCTTGACCCCTTCTCTCTGGGTGCAGCCATCCGGCCAATTCCTTATCCACCGAATGGTCCACCCTTCAAATCTATCTCTCTCCAATTTAGGTACAAGAATGTTGTGTGGGACTGTGTCAAAGGCCTTACAGATGTCCAGGTAGATGACACCAGTCAGTCTGCCCTTACTGACTGATACAATCTCTTCATCACAGAAGGCCACCAGCTAGGTCAGGCAGGATTTGCCCTTGGTGAAGCCATGCTGGCTGTCTCGGATCACGTCCATGGCTTGCATGTGCCTCAACACTGCTTCCAGGAGGATCTGTTCCATGACCTTCCCAGGCACAGAGGTGGGGCTCACGGGTCTGTAGTTCCCTGGATCCTCCTTTCTACTCTTTATAAAACTGGGAGTGATGGTTCCCTGTCTCCGGTCACTGGGGACAATTCTGTCTGTAATTAAATCCATGCCAGTTTCTCATCAGGTTTTAGTCTGGGGATTGCAGTAGCATAGTTGGAAGGTGTCAGAAGAGCAGCCTTGGCCAGCTGTGACAGTGAGTGTATTAAACTGGGATTCAGACAAGAAGCAAAACACAATCTAATGAAGAAGGCCCTACGCAGTTAAGGGTGCCGGAGGCTATAGTAAACACGGTTAAATTAGGAACATAAATACTGGAGCAGCTAAAGATAGCAGATTGCCAAGTATTTCTGTTAAAGGTTTGAGATAAGTACTGGGTGGCAAGTAACACTGTTAAATTATGTATTTGGCACCTTGCAAAGCAAAGCCATAAAAGTGTCACTCGTCTGGAAAGTCGGTCAAGTCTTGACAGGTATTTTAAACAACAATTAGATTACTGCTGACATCTCCCCTGAAAGTTTAATTAAAGCTAATCCTTTTAGTTTAAAAATTTGGTCTTCTGAGGTGTTTGCTTTCTCCAGCCAATCCACACCACCAGCACTGGCTTCACAGACAGAGCAACCACAGCAAACCAAGAGGAGCAGGGTTTCCGTCAAAGCAAGAGTTTGAGGCAAAAATGACTTGCAGGAAGAGGGGAGATGGGATATTTTCTGGGAGAGCCAAGTGGGCCTGAGCGTGTGTGTGAGGCAGGGAGAGAGACCTGCGCTCGCAGCCATCATGTCCGTAATCCCCATCACTGAACACTCATTCAGTTATCAGAAACATTTCAGAGCCCTTGAGATTAATGCCTGGTGCCATGTAAACAGAGCCTTATATTGGGGAGACAGAGTTACCAGCAGGCCAGTGCACAGCAGCAGGAAACCAAGGCTGGCCTCGTCCCTCACGGCCCCGTCAGTCTCTGCACAAAGAAGGTCCCAGGATGGGCAACAGCCTGAAAGCCATAGTTGCTTTTGTGCCCTCCGACGAGTGCCAGAAGTACCTCCTGGAAGACCTGGAGGAGATGCCAGTGGACAAGATGGTGGATCTGAGCGGCAGACAGCTGAGGAGGCTGCCTCTGCACATCTGCTCCTTCAGGGAGCTGGTCAAGCTGTACTTGAGCGACAACAACCTGAACCACCTCCCTCCTGAGCTGGAGCAGTTGCAGAACCTCCAGATCCTCGCGCTGGACTTCAACAACTTCAAGGCGCTGCCGCTGGTGGTGTGCACGCTGAAGCAGCTGTGCATCCTCTACCTGGGCAACAACAAGCTCTGCAGCCTGCCCCTCGAGCTCCGGCTCCTGCAGAACCTCAAGACCCTCTGGATCGAGTCCAACTGCCTGCAGCACCTTCCTGAGGTGGTGTGCGAGCTCAGCCTGCTCAAGACCTTGCACGCCGGCTCCAACGCGCTGCGCACGCTCCCCGCCCAGCTGCGGGGCCTGCAGGAGCTGCGCACCATCTGGCTCTCGGGCAACCTGCTGTCCGAGTTCCCCCCCGTGCTCCTGCACATGCCTTTCCTGGAGGTGATCGACGTGGATCGCAACGCCATCCGCTTCTTCCCCAGCCTGGCCCACCTCCCCGGCCTGAAGCTGGTGATCTATGACCACAACCCCTGCAGGAACGCGCCCAAAGTGGCCAAAGGGGTGCGCAGGGTGGGGAGGTGGTCGGAGGAGAGCCCCGAACCCCGCAAGCGATCCGGGGCGGTGATAGAAATCACGCTTGATGAGAGACCGTCGCCACCTCCCACTGACAAGCCCGAGCCCGAAGCAGAGTCGTGATGCTGCTCAGCTGCCTCCACCAGCAGAGGTGGCAGCACTCCCACGGCGCTGCCCAGGCTCTCCCCTTCGAGAGGGCATCGTGCTGCCTGGTAAGGCTTGGGGTAGGTGCACCAGTTCAGAGCAAAACGCTCTTCTACAGCCACCCTCTTCTGCACGCTCTCCAGAGCGAAGACTTCTCCCTCTCCCCCTCTGCAAGGACTGCTCAGAGCTGGCAGCAGGGTTTATGTTTCCCACAGCAAGTTGATCTCCACCCACAGGAACCCTTTGGGCTCGCCTTCCCTCCGTCCCCCTTGCTGAGGTGTCCGAGCCCAGCTGGAAGCCACCATGCACAGTGACGATCGCTGCTGGGAGCTGCAGCTTTAAAGTAACCCACGGCACTTGTCTCAGTGACTTGTTTGAAAGGCAGCAGCTTGAGGGTTTCCCTGCCCATCTCATGGTACATGGCAGCGGAGCCCTGGATGCATTATCAAGGAAGCAACGCGTACTGGAGAACTCTCCTCCTACAGCTGCTGTCTTCTTCCTGGAAAATTTGTGACCGCTCTGATTTTGTTATTGCTAATTACCATTTCAAATGACAGTGAGGAAAGATACATGCTTTTTTTTTATTATTATTTTTTTTCTGCTGTGTCTTACGTAGCCGACCACACTGCCGGTAAGGGCAGCTGTACGTGCCGAGTTTTGATGCGGTAGCAGAAAGCCCTGACTGAAATGGGAGAGCCACAATTGCTGCAGAGCTAACGTGGACGAAGGAAACCTAAGGCTGGGAGCCTGCGTCTTCAGACTTACACAGAAACTGAAGTTGAGGCAAACATTACCCGATGAACTCCAGCAGGGTGCTGCTGTAGCTTGCAAACCTCAGATCTGTTCAGATTTCCTTGGAAAGGCACTGAACGTTTAAGAATGCTTTAATGGTGTAGCACAGAATAGAAACCTGGCTCAAAGTGACTTTACATTTTTAGCTTTTGATTCCGTAGCGCTGAGCGCGGGGTTTGGTAGAAGGCAGCTTTTTAGAGAAGGGTGGGGAGCCCTTGGTGGCACAGCGCAGCCACTTCCCCCTCTCTCCTGCTTGTCAAGTGGGACTGTCTTTCCAGCAGGCACGCAGAAGTGACAGTTCCCATAAAAGGTTTGAGTCGATGCCAGTTTGCGACTGCTTAGTGTCATTTACATTCTTGGAAAATTCTCTGGAAATATATAGGCTCCGTGAGTGCCGGCTGCCTTGTTAAATGAAGTGCACGCTTGGATCTGGCTGGTACCCGCTACATTCATTAAATTAAATAAAGTGTTCTGGATTCTCACTGAGCTAAATTGTCTTTCTTTTGGAACTAACTTGCCAAGCTCTTTATCTAAGCTTTTTCCAACGATTTCTTTCCACAAAGGAAATCATTCAACAGGATGGGAATTTGGGGCTTTCTTAACATCAGCATTCAGTGTTTTATTTCCTGTAGAACTAACTTGGTATTCTATTTATCTGAGGGGACAGAGGAAGATAAACCTTTAAAAAGCAGGTAAAAGTGTGTTTTTAACACTACTCTTAAAGCAGCATTTTCTCTTTGGGTAATTAGAGTCTATTTTGAGTTTGTAGAAGCTTTCTGTAAGCAGAATCACTTCATTGCAGGAAGAAAACTGTTTGCACAGATACTTTATTTCAGATTAACCTTCCTGCTTTGGCAGCCTGCCCCTGCTGTTCACTAAGGTGCTGCGGTGTACAGGGAAGGGCCAGTGGGGTCACAGCACCCAGCGAACACCTCTCTAGGGCCTAGCGCTCAGACAGGGGCATCTCCCCTCCTCTCTGCTCACCATTATCAGAAATCTACCTGAAGACTGCTGCAGAAATCGGACTTAATCACAGTCTGAGTACCTGGTAAGGGAAATGGTGCGATAAAGAAACCACATCGGCACTCCAGGAGCTACTGGAATAGGAAGGAATATGAAGAGATAGGTCACAACAGGCATGTGGGGAAGGGAAGGGAGAAAACTGAATGTGATGCAGCACGGCACATCTCTCACCAGCTGCCCTCCTGTTGTAACAACCCCTATTTGTGAAGGCAGCCAGCCCCAGTCTGGTACCTCACAGACATACATGGACTATTTGGCCCAGCACATTACTTTCTCCCCTCTAATGTAACTGCACTTCTTGGTTCTACACAAAGACAAGCACAGCTTTGATGAATATGATTTTATTTATTTCAGTGTATCTTAGGTGGAAGCTGGAAAGGAACCGGGGTTGTACAATTAAATCTTCCCCCCAACACGTGTAAACTGAAATAAGTTAAAATCAACTGAAGGCATTTACTTCGTGCCGTTGATGGAGCTGCTCATCTCAAGCTTCTGTTCCATAACCTCACAAAAAATCGCCTAAAAAAACGCTCGGTGAGATCTGGTCCACACATCTTTGGGTACTGGAGAAAATTTAACATGGGCGATGGTCTGGGACGCGTTTCCTGTTGAGAAAAAGAAAAATCAGAAAACACTGAGGTTGACCAGCTTGCCCTCATCTGCCTTTAATTTTTAGTTGATATTTTGCTTTCAATGCTAGTTTTACCTGACAGCTTTGAGATGGCGCTGCCTATTGTGATAATACACCAGCTTTGCGTGGTAAGAAAGTGATTCACAAAGCAGCACAAACTACCTCGTAGTGGGCACCCACAGGATAATCTGCTGACAAGTGGGATTTCTTCCCATACTTGCAGGTAGCCTTACCTTGGTGCTGCTTTAATAATGTCATCTACACGAAGAATCATTTCTGCTGCTTCAGCTGCACTCAGCAGAACTTGTCTCTTGACTTGGAAGCTTTCCGTCACTCCCAAGACTGCCATGTCTCCAATGGTACCCTCTTTCATATCTTTAAAAAGAGATACATTAAGTCTTTTTTTCTCCTCATTTATTTTAAAGGAAATTACAAGAAGCTGACAATAAGGTAGCTGACCTCTTCAAATGAACCGTACTGATAGCAGAGGAAATATTTTTAAAATTATTTCACTTCAAGGCCTAGCATTGTGCAATTACAGACAAGAATGATGAAAACTCTACTGGGAAAAGGAGATGAGACCCAATGGGACTCTCAGCTCCATTTCCTTACGTATATCAACTTCAGAATTCTTCTCTGCAATTTTTTTTTTTTTTTTTTTAAATACATGCCTTTCTTTTTAAGTTTCATATAACCAGGCCCACTGCAATTAAGGTACGTGGTTTTATGGGTGGAAGCCACCTCCTTCACAAATTCACCCTACCATGAAAAGCCTGACCCAAATGATACAGGAATGTAACATTGTATGGCTTGTATTTCTGTTTGCTTTGCACAGAACAAGTCATCATGTCCATCACCCTGTGCTGTAACACATGCAAGTAGAAGTGTTAGTACCTCCTAACTAATTTCAATGCATAAGGGCTTCTGTCGCCAAGAAAACAGAATTCATCAGAAAAGATTCAGAGAGACACAAGAGTGCACCTACATAATGCAGACTTTAAAACACAGATGCACGCACTGTGGCATCAGCACACTCGGTTCTTTCAGCTGAATGTATTAGTGAGAAACAGATGTGACCAAGCTTAGTAAATTGAATCCCCCCACAAACAGCAACCCAGTAAAAGAAGCATTATCAAATCCCTTACCAAGTCCGTAAGTACTCTTCCCTTCGCTGTGCGCAGCCCTGAGCTGAGCAACCAAATCGGCGCTGTCATAGCCAGCGTTGTCAGCTATGATTGTTGGGATCTAAGGGGCAAACACAGGTTGGTGGTCATTAATGCAGAGACTGACCCGTTACGCATCACACACACTTTGATATTGCATTGTACTATTCAGTTTCAAGAACACTGAGCATCAACAACATGATAGATGATCTGTTACACTGAACAGAAGTTGGAAAAAAACAACTACCCTTTTAAGGATGTTATTCCCTTTTGTTTAAGGCCCTGTAAGACAGTAGCGGAGAGCATGTTAGCAGATTTGTCACCTTGTTTTACATGGACAGAAAGAAATTGTCTCTTTGTTAATCATTTCGGACTACAACTGGAGGATTTACTTTCAGACCATAGCTTGCTGGTTGGCATTAACCACCAGATTGTTCTGTTAACAAAAACTGCACATGCTGCCTGAAGCGGCAGTGCCAAGTCTTACTATGCTCTTTAATTTTCTTAAGAGAAATGTTTGCTTCTAGTCTTTAATTTCCTAAGCAAGGTTTTCCTTGCTGGAAGGCAATTTTCCTCAAATTGACAGTCTGTTGTTAGCACAGTAATATTCTATAAACTTCTTTTCTTGTAGTATTCTATTTTCTGCTAAGATACGAACTCCAACACAAGTCTAGAAAATTCTAGATAGTTGTAGAGAATTAATACAGTTAAATGGAACCAAGGGCTTTTATAGGACTATTATTAAAACACCAATACTTTATTCCTCAAATAGAAAACAGTAACTTTTTTTTCCATTGTTCATCCAAGATACATCGCTAAATTTCACTTCTTTAGTTTTAGAAAACCTAAAGTTGGAGAGAGAGAAGCAACCACTTGATGTCAGAAGTTAGCAAACCAACTGGCTCTTGAAATTTTACATGCATTAGTCCAGCAATCTGACTAAATAAACTTACCATTCGCAAAGCCTTAGCAAAGGACTCCATTGCAACAGATTCTTTGCCAGGTGTTCTGATGGCAAGTTCTGTAACAGCGTTAGCCATCAGCATCTCTGAACAACCTATTCATTAAAGACAAACAAGTGTTTTACGAGTTGAATATTAGCACAATGTCTATTATGGCCATGATGTAAAGAAACTAACACTCACCTCCACCATAAACAGTTCGAGTGTCCTTCACAGTCTGGGCAAGAACGCAGAGAGCGTCATGCAAAGACCTCTCTGCTTCATCCAGAATCTGCTGCGTTGCCCCACGCAGAACTATGGTGCAAGCTTCACCTAAAAAAATTCAAGTGCAACAAGATTTATAACAAACAAACAATCCAACCAAAACAAGAGCCAGACCAAGAATGTTAACATGACAAAACAAGAGGCAATCACAAAGCATTTGTAACAGGTTTGTTATCACTGCAGTTAAGTTTTACATAAAGAGATCAATTTGTAGAGGAGGAAGCAAGAAGCATAATGACATTTCAGAGGCAGAATAAAACAATGTACACAACATTATTGCTTTTATCAGTGAACTGCTGTAAAATACCGTATTTAATTAAGTAGAAAATGATTTTTTCTAAGGTGTAGTTTTGAAACATTTATATTATCTACATTTATTAGAACAAGCTATCAAGTTCTCGAAGTGTGACAGGTTGCTACTTTTCTCATCAATCACACAAAGCAGAAATTTTGGGTCCCATCCTTGCAAGTGTTTATGCAAATGTTGAACATTATGTAAATGAACAATTTCAACAACGAACATGTATCTTTGAAGGATCAGTGTTTCACTGGAGAGTAAGGCTTTCAGAAAAATGGCTACCTGAATCATCACAAATTACCTATGCCATCCTGGTAACTGAACAGCGTTAGCAAAGCATTAACACAAATATTACAATTTGTTATTTATGGTTAAACACTCACCCATTGCCACACCAGAGAAATGAATGAGTTTATCTTCTCCAATCATGACTTCTTCAATAAGCTTGCAACTTCCTAATTTTACCAACTCAGGGTGATCAAAGGTTGATGCAATTTCACCACCTACAAATGTGAGATTATTGAAGTGTCAAAATGAAAACATCTTCTGAAGCAAGGGCTAATTAAGAAAAAAAAATCATCGTAGTTGCAGAAAAATAAACTCAAGGTAACAATAGTGATAAACCAAATTTTTCCAACATCAGAATATGACACCAGGAACTTCCTACTGATGTTGAGAAGTTCTTAAACCACCAATGTTTTGTTTTATGTCACAAGAACTACAGTAGCTGCAATGCTTTTGAGTTCTGCCCAGATAAAAGAATACATGCTGTTGTGACGGTATTAAAATGTAAATCTGTTTAAAGTTTTAAAATTCTTTACTTGTTAAATGTTTAAAAACTACCAAATCAAAATTTGCTGTTTTGAAACTTGTGCTAGCATTAAATCTGCCTTCCTGATTACGCAGCTGGAAACGGCTGACCACCACTTTCCCAAATCATGAGTCTTGCAACACGTCATGGCAGCCATGCTGCGGACCATTCATAACTCCCATATCATCAACAAAATAGGCATTACGAAGAGCAGAATGTCCCTGAATGAAACACTGTTCTAGTACTTTGCTATTCCCATTAGAAAACCATTTACGTATATTCACTCCCCGTGGATGTTCTATTAACCCACGTTAACTTAATAGCTTTGCTTTGGCTGTAGCTCTAAAAGGAAGGATCAGATTTGCAGTTGAGTTTGTCCTTACTATGAGCTTGTCACGTTTTTTCAGCTACTCTGTTTGATGCAGCGTGGTCCAATACAGTCCACTTGCTCTGCTTATAAAATCTGTTTTGAATTTGTTCCAGAACATAAGCGATGTTTCTCTCACTGAAGTGTTTGCTGGTGTCAATGTACCTACAGACAGCTGCACACAACTGCAACTTCAGTTTTGCTAGCTAGTCAGTATCTTTGCCTTTCTCCCTGCAAAGCAAACTCCATTCTACTGATCATTACAATAATTAGTTCTTTTTAGTATGTTCCAGCTAACTACGTCTAACTGGAATTCAGGCAGTGAGGATTATCTGTAGCATTCCAGAAGCTGTTTCACTTTGATTAGTTCCTGAAGTCATTTACACTGACCACTACTAAAAACATCGAAGTTGCTTATGTTATCTGAGGACTGCCTCAAGTTGATGACTCAGGCCCGCAATTCTAACAGAGGATAACTCTTGAATCTTCTCTGGTTCTACAGTCAAACAACAGCCCTTTATAACAAGATAATGTAAATTCATTTGTTGGTTCATCATCCTACACTTCATATGGCTAACTTATCTTTTCCCTAGAAAACAAACATTTCAAAAGTTTATCAAGCAGAGACTTAATCATAAAGTATTGTTAAAACATAAAAGAAAAACACTAACTGGAAAGTAAAATCTGGACAGTTACTAAGATGTTACTTTTTTCACAGTTGCTATATAAAACTTGTTTAAATCATTGTGCAGGGAGGATTCAGAATCAAAACAGACTTTTTACAAGTCAAGTATAATACACTGAAGATAGAAACCAAGTTATACCTACTCCTGAAAGAATACTAACAGTTATACAGTAGTTAAATCATCAACTTAATTTCCAAGTTACTTATGGTTAATTTCATAGAATCTTTCATGTTTGTATTTAAGTTCTGTAAAATAAAGCTTATGCTAAATACTTTTCACATTCACAGATCAGCTTAATAGTAAAAATGAAGTAAAACCTAGGTGATCAACTACTAGCATTTACCAAAGGCCAAATAAATAACGTGACCCTCCAAGCTGCACCCAGCAAGGTACTCCACAAACCTGTAACAAGAGCCAGGCGCTCCACACCAGCGAAGTCCGCATGCTCAATTGCCATGATGCCAGCGGCCCCAAAGAGCTGCTCAGGGTAGTTGTAGATCAACTGCCTGCAATTAAAACAAAGTCACATCTTCACATTGCAGAAAGAACAAACCTTTAAAAAGACTTTAGAACCTTTGTTACCAGAGAAACAAAGGACACTTGATTCTCCGCAGTATGGACACAGTTTTCTACAAGCTGCCAGAACAGTCTGTTTGTAAGATACCAACCACATGAAGAAAGTTGCACCCACACAGAAGTAAACAACCAGTAGAGACAGGAAAGCACAAGCTACAAAAAATTTCAACGTACTGTAGCTTTGAAATACGCTGCTCCTGAAGACACGTTATCAATGCTTTCAATTCTGAGTTCTTATGCCTTAAATTCTGGGTTCTTCAGTCTGAAGTGCCCACTGGCCACTTAGTTGCCTATCCTAGCAGGGCGCACTACAACATGTGAAGTAATTTCTTTAATTCCTCACCAACATAAAATCCAAACAAGATACAACTTTGTGGGAACAATAAATGGCCATAGAGAGCAGGCCACAGACAAGAGCATGTGCTTCTTTGTTTGTATGTATTCCCTTCTCCCCAAAGCAGGGTCACTGACCAAACTATTTTTCCCCTCCAGATTAGAGGCTGAGTGTTGTAGAAATGTAGCAGAAGCTGGGACCCACCACGTCTGTCAAAAAAAAAAGATGCTCCTCAGCTACCTTCAAAAGGGACAGCTGGCATTGCTGATTACGTACAGAGAAGATTCTTCCTACTTTATATCCATAGAGCATCCTGTCAAGCATCTCCTTGCTCACTGCGCCTACACTATAACATCATGTACATGAATGAAACGTGACACAGATGAAGAGATTGAGATTTAAAAACCCATCACTAGTTCTTACAATTAACACAGCTGTTGGAGTTTTAAGATGTGCAGTACCCCATAAGTGTAAATCTTTGCTACTGTTGTAAACAGTGCAACTCTTATATTCCTATCCTTTGATGCAGTGCTAGTTAACCAGCTTCCTAGCAGACCACAGAACCACTCAAATGAGAATTACTGAAAGGCAGAAGCACTTCTTGCATTAAATGTGAATGTTTTGCACTGTGATAGTTCAAAAGAGAAGTGCATTGCTATCAAAAACATGGAATTTAGATTGTGACGTTCACTGGACTTAAACATGGGTCCCTGATTAAATAACAGCACTTCTGCCTTAAAAAAAAAAAAAATAAAGCAGCAGCAGTGAGGAGGAATGACACTGCACCACACCTGCGGGAATGTGAAGAAAACTCTGGCCCCACTGAAGTGACTTAATTAAGTATTGGGTAAGATCACATAATTTTAGGGATAATGGGCATGAATAACCTTCTTCACACACATACAGTATTAAAATCTTGCTACTCTGTAACTGCATTATAAATTCTAGCCAAGAAAACATACCTGTTAATAAAGCAGTTTATTCCATGCTTAAGAATACGCTCTACTTTCTCCTTCATTTTTTCTTTTTCTGCCTGTTCTATTTCTGCTACCTTTGCTGTCGAGTCCACTCTGACGCGAGAGCCAAAAATCTAAACCAAAGAAAACAAGTCCAGTTAAAAAAATAAATTCCATATATGAAAATATTGTTTAAAAACAGTAGTTCGGTCACATACCTTAATCTTATCTGTATCCATGCCAGTATTTGCAATAAGAATCTTTGCATTTTCAATTCTTTTTGGCTGGTTTACACCGATCTTTTTGTCAAGCAAAAACCCTGTATAGTAAGAAAAAGATTTTTAAGACTTCATATTAAAAAAGGAGAACATTTCATTTAAATTATTGCAAAATAATTAGTAGCATTATTATTCAATTTAGTAATAACAACGTTTTCTAGAAAAAAAATATATAGACATGTATAACTTTTAACAATTTAATTTCATAAGCACACTTACAGCCGATATACAAAGACTTACCTTCATCTAAGTAAGAATCAGCCAGACTTCCACCAAGTTTCTTAATGACGTGGATAGCCTCCAGATTACCAGAACCTTTCAACCTAAGAACAGCTTCGACAGCCAGCTTGACAAAGTGATCTTTATGATGAGTGAGTAACTTTGATGAGAGAGTCGTTCCCGCGATGTTCATCAAGTCTTCACGGAACTTGGCTTCATCATCACTGCAACAAAGCCAGCACAGTTATGTGGGCAGGTCTGTGTCTGAAAGCCTTCCTTATCAGTCACCTAACACTGTGAGTCTCTCCCTGCTCTTCCTAACCTACACGTATCTGTACTAGATCATTACTATGTTCCATTCTGAGGAATGACAGAATTCCTCCAGTGTCCCAAGAAACACCTTTCTATTGAAACCCCAGTTAGATCAGGAGTTCCTCGTGAGAAGAGGTTCATTTCCTGGGTGTAAGACATCATTCATATTTATGTGCTTAAAGGATGACATCCTGACACCTGCATTTTTCCTAAATGACACAAAGGCACACAAATATGCCTATCTCAAAACACTAAGCAGAAGTAAGATCCGTACTCATACTGAAGTTGAAGAAGCCACAGAAAGTATTTTTTGACGCTGATTTTAATTAGATTTTAACCCCATTTTTGTTGGGATAGTATTTTGTGAAATTAAGGACAACCAACAGTGAATGAAGTTAATACAGTCTTAAAACAACATACTGCTTTTTGCCATTTTGGTCAAATACCACGGTCACAAGCATTCTACCACCAACTTGGTATCTCTAAGATTTTAGGCTATGAAACATAGCAAAACATTTAATCTACACTTCTCCCTGGCAGAATGAGAAATTGCACAACTCAGTCAGATACCATGGAGCTGCTTCTGCGGATTTTGAGACTAGTTTATGTAACTAGATATTAATGTTTCTTCTCTGTCATACTAAGGCTTTAAAAAAAATATTGTTTCATAGTACCTTTTACCATTTGCACTACACTACTGAACTAGTATTCTGTGATGTTTTACTACAAAGTAGTTTAGATCAACTGTTTTAAGAACAAAAACTTTCCGCTCAGCTTTGAAAAAGCCTCGTCACGCACAGAAAGTACACGTGTTTAAAATCAGAGTATGAAATCTGAAATAACAGCTCAGATTTTTGTCCTAAGAAGAAAATTACTGCTTATTTTCTGATTCTGCACGTTGCAAGCAATTTTAAATAACTTCATACAGCTTCTGTAGTTCATCTAACTCAAAAGTAGCCTTCTTTTCAGTAATTGTTAAATTTATATATTCAGCTTAAAAAACCGCAAAGGATTTTCCAGTGCTACATAATTCTCTCCAGTGAGTTTTAGTCTCAAATGGTTTACAAAGAGTTATTGCCAATGTATATTACTAACCCATGATCCACAGCTGCTTTCAAAAGTGCCTCTCTTGAAGCTTTTGTGGCTGCTCTCCAGCCTGCAATGATGGTCTGAGGATGAATCTTCCTAGAAATCAGCAATTCTGCCTCCTATTTAAATAAAATTAATAATTAGCTTTTTTCCACGGCACATTCACGCTAACTAGGAAAGGCACTTACAAGCAATCAGAAAATTCTGAATGCCACCAAAAGCACAAGTGCTGTAACACAATCAAATTAAAGTGAAGACCTAAGAAAGGGAGAATATTCTAGCCGCCATACTGGCACTTTTTTTTCGCCTCTGTCTTTGGAATACCTTCTAGAAATGTTGATTAATAAAAAAATCTCATCTCCAACATGAACTGTAACAAGACACATAAAGTGAACTCTCACTTCATGCTTGAGATCAGTTTCCTGTTCATTTATAACTGCAAGTTAAGGTGTAGTTGTAGGGAAACAAACAAAAAATCTTCAAACTTTTTTTTTCTTCAAAACTTTTGTGAGGAACTTGGTAAGCTGATGGGATCATTTCTCAGATTTCTTGATCTCAGATCCAGGAACTGTGATCATTAGATTCACTGGCACAGCTTTGCCAAGTAGAGTTCCTCACTTCTGACATCTCTCTCACATAGTAATTTCCAATTTAGAGTTTGGCAGTCTTCAGTATGTGGTGTTTAAAGCAACATTATGAATTCAAGCCTTGTGCACATAACAGCAGAATTTAACATGCCTTTTTTTCCCCCTTAACGTTGTGGAAAAGGATTTCAGAGGACTGAACCTCACAATTAAGCAGTGCTGTATTCTGCTTAGTGCAAAATCCAGAAAATGACCTGTGACAGAAGAACACTTCCATGTTTCGGGATAGCGTAGTCACAGGACTACGCTGCCAAATATAAAAACATTTGAAAAAATTTAATACATCACCCTCAGTAATTCAGCTGCCAACACTGTGACAGACGTAGTTCCATCACCAACTTCATCATCTTGAACCTTTGACATATCTAAAAGAGGAAGTCGTTGTATTAATGTTTTGATTCAAAATTCCATGCTCTACCTGCTATAAAGTGTTTTTTTGTTCCTTAAACTAATGTGAGATAAAAAAGACCCTTACTCCTTGATAAAAAGGTTCTCAAACTGTAAGTCACAGAAAAACATGAGATGAAGTCAGATTCAGCATCCATGAAATTCCATGAAATTGCAACAGACACCAGTACCAGCCTGTCAATGGACAAGAGCTATCCCCCTCTCTCCCAATGCCTGAGGACTGGAAGAGGGAAGGCTCTGGGGAGACCTCACTGCGGCCTTCCAGTACCTAAAAAGGGCAACCTGGTCTGGTGGGAGGTGTCCCTGCCCATGGCAGGGGGTTGGAGCTGGGTGGGCTTTAGGGTCCCTTCCAACCCAAACCGTTCTGTGATTCTGAAGACAGACAGCCACAGCTCCAGGGATGAGCAAGGGTTGAGGGAAAATAAGGAAACATCGGAATAGTTTTGTGAGAGCAGCATATGCCTCAAATTTATTTTTCAGAGTTCCACAACTCCTGCAACACCTTGGTCTCCTTATTTCAGGACTTCTTCTCCCCCTCCCCTCATTCTTGCATACTACCTGAAGAATACTTCTCTACAAACAAGTAAGAACGACACAATAAAGTTTCAAATGAAGAAACTCTGAGTACAACAATGACAAGCTGGTAAAAACTCACCAACCAAGACCTTGGCAGCTGGGTTGTCAACTCCAATAGCTTTCAGGATGGTTGCACCATCATTGGTCACTGTCACCGTGCTGTCTCTCCCAGTACTTAGCAGAATCTTGTCCTACATGATGCAAGACACAGAACGCTGTTTGAAAACGTACTATAATTATTAAAACTAAATTATCAAGTATGAGCACTGAGAACTTGCAGCTATCTTACCATGCCTTTAGGCCCCAGAGTGCTCTTGACTAGGTCACCGATGGCAATTGCACCAACAAAGGATGACTGAAATGAAAGCAAATAGAAATTAATCATTTTCTAAGGTCTACTTTAACATCAGTAGTAAATTCTAGGCAATATCTTAGAAAGGGGAATCCCAGAGTGGCTGAGGCTGGCAGGGCCCTCTGGAGCCCACCAGGCCCAACCCCTACCCAAGTAGGGCCACCCAGAGCAGGCTGCCCAGGGCCACATCCAGGTCTTTTTGAAGGTCTCCAAGGAGGAGACCCCACAGTCTCTCTGGGCAGCCTGTTCTGGTGCTCGGTCACCCACAGAGTAAAGATGTGAGATCTTAACCCAGCCCTTCCACAGCCACACTCCAAGAGTCTGATTCCAAGTTTCTGGAGTGCTGTATTTTGGTAATCAGCTCAAATACACTTAATTTTCACAGTAACCATAAAACCATATCTCATGGATAAAAAAAAAAACAACCTTTGAACAACTATCAACCTCCTGAGCTATGATATAGCTACTTTGTCTGTGTATACAAAACAGTTCTCCTACCTTCTGTTCAGAGACATGCAACAAGAAATAACACTAAGAGACAAAGGAAGCTCTACATCAGTATGAACTGGAAGTACATTTAACGGAAAAATATTCAACAAAAAAACACACATTATTTTTACACACATTAATTACCCAGGGTATCACCAATTTCTTAAGAGAGTGAACTCACCAGCCGAGCTGTTTCTGCCTTTTCTTCATCGGCACCTGCCTTGAAAATGTTCACGGGTGCAAGGGAAATGGATGCCTGAAACAGTGTAAGAATACTTCTTTAAGAGATCACTTCATTTTAAGAGCAAAAATCTGACACTAACAACCTAAACAATGCCTGGACTAGTGAAATGATTTCATATTCCATTTGGTTTTGATAAAAAGTGTATTCAAGGTGAATAGTGCTGAAAAACCTACCCGAGATGAATAGAATTTGATTTTTTCCTAAAAATCTGTTTGTGTAACGGAGGGATTGTAAGGTAGGCTGTAATTTACAGCATGACCGCACACTGTGCTGCGTGGTAATCACACCCCCAGGCCTGCCAGGCCGCTGCCTGTGCTGATGGCTAGGGGAGCCCGATAAATCTGCACAGCGAGGATTCAGGATTTCAGTGCTTGAATATTTGCGTCAGGCCCTTGCTTTTTGAGGCGTTTCCTTGCAAATTACGCTACAGCAGCACCAAACACGTGGTTTCAGGGTTAAGAGGGGCATTCCCAAAGAACTCAAGGCCCTGATGGAGCCGGGACCAACCCCCCCGCGGCTCCTCACAGAGCCACGGGATGGCGGCGGCCGGCAGGGCAGGGCAGGGCCCCCTGCAGCCCCCTCACAGCCCCCGCGCCGCGTCCCGCCACCCCCAACGGCCGCGCTCTGGAACCTTCCATGCCTGAGGCGGCGGCTGCGGCGGCGCCTCCCCCGTTCCCCCCACGGCGCGGGCAGGGCACGGGGCCGCCCCACCCGCCCTTCCCGGCCCCTCCCGGCCGCCCCCGGGCCCCGTCCCCGCGGCCGCCTCTCACCATGGCGCCGCCGCTCCCCGCCGGTCCCCGCCGCAGAGCGATGGCTGCACGCCGCGCCCCGGCCGCCCGCAGGAAATGGCGTCCCGGGCAGGGGCCGTGGGGCAGGCTGGGAGATGTAGTCCGCGCCTCAGGGGCGCTCATGAGGCGCTCGTAATTAGCGCCGCGGCTCTCTCACTGCCGCTTCCGTTCGCCTTCCCGTTGTGCTTCTGTAAAAGCGTTTTTGCTAGGCGATCTTGGCCCTGCCCCAAAGGATTTTGTGGTTGCCCCAGTTTAAAAAAAAATTATCGAGTTTCTGAAGGTTGGCTCTTGAGCAAGGCAAAAACTTTAAATTCAAATTAAATTAAGTACCAAAAAACTTAAATTAAGCTTCCGGCGTTCTGTGAGCTTCACAGCCCCTCCCGGACTTGTGCCATGGCATCACCCACATGACAGAATCACAGAATCATCTGGGTTGGAAGAGTCCAACCTCTGTCCTAACACTAACCAGTCCTCCACTAACCCATATCGCTAAATTCAACATCTAAACATCTTTTAAAGACCTCCAGGGACGCTGACTCAACCACTTCCCTGGGCAGCCCATTCCAATGCCTCACAACCCTCTCAGTAAAGAAGTTCTTCCTAATATCCAACCTAAACCTCCCCTGGTGCAACTTTAGCCCGTTCCCCCTCATCCTGTCACCAGGCACATGGGATATGGGATGAACCCCATCTCGCCACAACCTCCTTTCAGGTACCTATAGAGAGCACTAAGGTTGCCCCTGAGCCTCCTCTTCTCCAGGCTGAACAAGCCCAGCTCCCTCAGCCGCTCCTCGTAAACCTTGTTCTCCAGACCCCTCGCCAGCCTCATTGCCCTTCTCTGGACTCACTTGAGCACCTCCATGTCCTTCTTGTAGCGAGGGGCCCAAAACTGAAACTGAACCCCTCAAAAGGGAGCAGAGTTAGACCTGGGAGACGGCCCTGCGCTCTTCCACTCAATAAAATCTTGTTTTTACATCAAAAGACATAAAAAGTCCACTGCCAATGCTCTGGGTACAATGTACGTGTCTGGTACAGCAGATGTGCGTGATCACATCCAAGCCTGGTCCTCTTGGTTTCTCCACTCACAAATAATCTGTTACCTGGTCATACTACTACTACTACTACTAATAATAATAATAAATGGTTTGTATAACAAGTTCCTCATGAATTAATTCCCACTGGTATTCCTCTGCTGGCTCCCAGATACTTTAAAGTATCCTGAGCGAGTCTTTGTGCTGGTGACTGGAGCTGTAGTATCTGTAATTGCTTCTTGGGTTAAGAGAACAAAGCCTTTTACAAAGGCATGGCTGGAGAAACATTTCTTAAGAGATTCTGTAAACAAAACATCTCCTAAAATTTCCGGAGGTTTATTAATTTGTTGGCTAGAAATATCCCTATTGAAATTATGCCTTAAAACAGTGATTTAGGAAAGAGAGAAGTACTGAATTTTGATAAATCACCATATGCTATAGTGAAAACGCCATCTGGACAAGACTTCAACCTTGTATTTTTCTTACAAATTCCTACGAATTCCTAATTCTTACGAATTCCTTCTGAATTCATCAGTAATGTGCTGACAAACTACATTTAGGTTTCGTGAAATCTTAATTCATATAATAGCTGAGGAAGGAGTACATTCAACTTAGAAGTAGTAGTAGTTAATAGCAGCACTACTACTATTACTATGATATCAAATCCAGTCCTACAGACATGAGAATGATGCAATATAACTCGAGAAGAAATGAAACAAAATCTTGGAGGAAAAAAATTACAAACTCCAGATTATGTTGTGTTTTGTTTTTGTTTGTTTGTTTGTTTGTTTTTTCTTTCCACTACTAAAATCCATATGGAATAAATGGGGAAAAACTTAGGTAACTACCTGAAGCAATGACAAAGCAAAGCTAAAAAAGGTTTTACTAATGCAATGCAATACAGGAACACTTACGCTGGTAAGCATTAAAGTAATCCACACATATTGTCAATGTAAAATCAATAGTTTATTGCCATGCTACAATTTGTTTTTCTTTCCAAATGAAGTTGGCACTGGTAAAGGGGGAAACGTTGTCATAATACATAACACATCTTTTAAAAATGCACATTTGGTAAGCTCTCTCAATCAGGACAGCTTAAAACAAGTTATTTTTTTAAGATTAACGTGGAATGGCATAAAAATACACTCTTTCTGCATAGTATAATATAACTTTTTCATAAAAGAAATACGGAATGTTTGTAAAAACAAATCCATTGAACAGGGCAAATTAATTGAAATTTTATAAACAATTTGGCAATGATACTCCCACTGTTTAGACTTTTTTATATAAAAGAAATAAAAATCTAGAAAGCTACCTTTATACAAAGTTGCTATATTTATGCCTTTAAAGTAGGAAAAAACATTTTATAATGCAAATTAGGACATACAATAATCTTACAATATCATACAATGTAATGACAAGAAAGGAACATACAACATAAGATTTTGGCCTTTGTAGAAATGTGTATTTCTGCATTTAAAAAAATGCAATTGTGGCACACTGGTGACTATTGTATTCTTACTCCTACCAGCCAGCTTTCCTGCTAGAAGTGTAGTCAGCTGTACTGTAAGGGCAGGTCTGCAGTTTCGTTAAAACACAGACAATTTTTCAGGAGACGTAAAGTGATGCTGCAGTGGAATGAGATGTAACTCACGAAAAAGGCAACGCGCCTGCTGGTTGAAAGACATCTGCATGGGTGAGGGATACCGTACGTACAACACTACTTTCGTTCATACCAGAGCATTTCGTATACATTCAGTTATTAAGTACCAAAGTCTTACAAGTGAGAACATTTGTGTTCGGGATTTGGCAAATTTCAGGGAAAATACAAAGTTAGTACCAAATATATAATATATTATATATAAAATGTGGGTGTATGATATACACACGTATTCTAATGCAAAAAAACTGCATTAATATGGAGTTAAATTTGCTGACATCCATTCCTAAATAACACAAACATTAAAAATACAGGTGTAATCCTGATCTTTCACACACTTTAGAATCACTTCCTCTTTCATACATAATAGTTAAAGCAATATATATGCAAGTATGACTAAGAAATCAAAATTCACATAGTAATCTGAACTCCGACCACAACAAATAGGATTTTTTTTTCAGTACACGTAATTAAATATATTTATATTTTTACAGTATTTTTAGACCATTCCTGAAGAACTTGACCAACCAGGTCCTCAGGTGTAACAGAGCTGTTATGTCAGCAGAACTTGATCTTGTAGGAACACATCCAGGGGCCCTCGAAGCCAATACGAACCACTCGTGTGGCTTCAAAGGGTGCTGCATGAGGCCCAAACACTCGCAAGGAAGATTCCCTGGTGACATCAAAGCTCCTACCTCAGACTTCCTTTCCTACTGCCAAAGGGAAGGACGGGAGCACAGGACACACCGACTCTGGGGTCTGGGTTGTTGGCAGGTGGTTGGGAATAACCACGTATGGCACAGCCCCAGCGTCAGCGAGCGGCAAGGTGAGCTTCATGGCACCTTCGTGCTAAGGCTTCTTGTGGAGAGCAGAGGAGCTGCTCCTCCACGCTCATCTCTTGACAGTTCAGTCACCACGGGTCTCAGGCACGAGCTGTGGCTGGGACCCCAAGGCATTAAGTAAGGACTTTGCAGACACAGAGGAAGACGGTCCCTGTTCCAAAGGGCTCGAGCCTATTTCTGAATCATATTTTTACATAATCTCCTTTGTATATACAGATATTTGCTACATAAAATAGAATTACACCGAAGTTATGGATATATCAGAAAACATTGTCACAATATATGTATATTACCACACTAAATAATTACTAAAACTGCAAGAATTTTTTCAAAATGCCCTTTGTGATATATAAAAATAGAGAAATGTCCAACACTTGTTTCATCAACTTTAAAGGTAACTTTGTATCTCATATTCTATCTGTACACCTACACATTTCCAAACAAAATACTGCGTTAATCTGGAGTAAACACCACATTAGGATAATAACCTCATAAGACACCTGACAGATTTAGTCACATACCTTACAGCACAACATTACAAGATATAATGTACACATGGTCAGAGTTACAGCTGCTAAGATTTTTTTCTTATTCACTTATCTTGTCCAAAAGAGGAAGCAATTTCTAAAGATTGTGAAAGGACATTAGCTCATGACTTCCCATCTTTTCAATATATGCTATGCAAGAAGGACATCAGCAACCCTGACTCCATCTTAACGCAGTCTTTTGTGGTGGAATTTCTTCTGGATTTTGTTGGTGGTGGTTTTGTTACTTGTTGTGTTTTGATTTTTTTTCTTTTCTGGAGTGTTTATGAATTTAAAATAAAGATATTGTAAATGAACTTAGATTTATATTGAGTAAATACTGTCAAATATAAATGCCTGAATTGCTACCTCACAGAAAAGATGGGAAAAGATCTTATGATTAAATTCTAAAAACACCTAATTCTATCTGTCAAACTGTGGGACCAAATTTCTTTTGGCTTCTTGGGGTTTACAGGAAAATTTCAGATCTGAGTCCAGTATTAGATCCTACTAAACCAGCTTTATCTTATTTGTAGCCACTAAATAAATTAGTACAGTGCAAAAATTGGATTTTCACCATTGATCCCACCTTACACAAAGAGAATACTGCTTAGAAATAGAGGTCCAAATCAGATACAGCTCATATTATATGCTCAAAGTAGTAACTGAAGTTAATCAGAAATTGCATTTTAAAGTCCCCAACAGTGGAGCCAGTCTGCAATATTGTGATTCTGCCTCAGCATGAAGTGGCTATACATAAAACAGATTCTGAGCCAATACACTGTCAAAAATCCAGCAAAAACAACTGCTGGCCTGTCACCTCCAAAAGAGCAGCCCTGTTTTGACATCGTTTTGGACTTTCTATAGCTTAGACCTTTCTGTGGCCCTTTTTAGAACAAATATGCAGAAAAAATATTTCTACAAAAATTTTGTAGACTTTAATAGGAGTAGTGCTTCAAAGCACACCATTACACTTACCACTTACCATATGCAAAACTTACTTATCAGGGGAAAAATGTTACAGTTATAGCTAAAGGTTTCAGAATGATCGTTTTTATATTGTTTTATAGAGTCACTGACAAAGACCACAAAATTAAAATCAGACTGCCCCTTCATATCAATTTGAGAAAACATATTCTTGTGATATAACCAATGGATTACATTCTCACCAAATGTATTTCCAGCACAATATTTATTGCCTACTTTTGGTCACTGCTACATCTTGTTTTTTTTTTTATCAATTCAATTTCCTTCTTAAAAAGGATAAGAGTCCAATGTATGTCTTTCACAAATCATTGCACTGAAGGAATATCTGTAACTAAAGGCTTTTCTTTGTCCAATATGCTTGTAGCAGCCAGTTGCATGCTATTGATGAACGGCAGACCTGAAGGCGATGTTGCCATTTTTGCAGGAGCTAGTGTATGGAAACTTAACATATCCCAGTTACTAAAGAAATTTGTTACATATTTGTTTCTCAGTCTGTACACCTGTGGGTCCAAAACACAAACATGATCAAATACTGTAGTGAGATTTCAGCTGAAAACTGAACTGTAGATTACAGAAGCTAAATCTAAAATCACAACCTTTAAAGAGACTGAACTGAAAAAATATTTACCAAGTCTCAAAGGGTAAAGTGCATTGCAACTACATCTACTTCAAGGGGCATAACATAAAGAAATAAAAAAGAATGCTAAAGATGAGCAGTGCAGGTAACAGGGACTAACCAGTGTGTTTGCAACAAGAAAGCATTATCCTGTCTGTAGAGTAACAGAGGGTTTAAAAAAAAAAAATCCTAGAAAATATGGTACCAGATTGGTTAATACAATTAAGGCTACAGAAGGTTTTTGCTTAATTCTGCTTGGTGCATATTTCATTTAGAATATTAATAAAAATGCCAAGACTATGCATTCAGAAATCACGGAAGATGAAACCTCAAGATGTTCTGAATTCTGGGGGCCACAGCTAAGAAAAGGGCCGAAATGATGTATCGTGAAACTTGCAACATAAAAAAGAAAAAATTTACTCAGACCACCTCTTGTATCTGAGACTATTCAGGATACATGTATGGGACAGTGCACCAGAACTAAAGGGGGATATGTTTCCTTTAATTCTGGTGAGCCACTTAAGATCTATCCTCTGTTTCCCTATTTATCAATTAAGACTATTATCTCCCTGCCTCACAGGAATGTTTTAAGGGTTCAGTTAACCAGTATTCATGAGATACCTGTACTATACAGATGAGGACCAAATATTTCTAGGCAGCTAGCTAGATCAAACACATTTGCCTCAAAACACACGTTGAAGCATTAGGCTGGCTCGCATGTTTAAGTGAACTTGAATTCATGTTCTTAAACTAAGAACAAGAATCACACCAGTATCATCAGCTGGTAAATATTTTGCAACACCTGGTAATTTCTCTTCAGTACAAGACTTCCTTGGCATAAGGCGAAGCAATGGCAAAGATGTGAAGGAGCATTAACACTGCAGACCTGTAAAGATCTCTACCTACACGGTAGCCTTTACCTCCTTGAGTACCAAGTTCTCCCCACAAGTCAACAAGTCTATCACATGAGTATGCATAGGTTGACAGTGAGATCATTAATGAGTTATTATTACTTGTCTCATTTAAGTTCCTCGTAATGGTCTCAACAACTCCCATCTCTTACTTCTGTAAATTCTGTTCTTTGTGCATCTGGTATTTCAGTACCATACAGTCTGTAAAGTTTTTCAGAGTTAACAGGCTGCCTGATATCCCTTAACCATGTGGCAAGAAACACGGACTTCAGGTGCTACCACTGCTGCCACTACTAAATTGAGAGAAGCACAGAGAACACGTTAACAAAGGAACAGGGATACACTCCAATTTAAAAACCTGAAAATATATATATATATATATTTAATAAAACTTAAATTTAAATATTGCATGAAGACCCTTATTTCTTTTCCAGATCTTCAGATGGCTTTTCTTGCATGTTTTTCCTCACACAGTTCAAGGGTTATTTTACATCGCACCAGTTCACAAGTGTCAGTTCCTTTGCAATCACAGGCTCAAGAGTAATCTCTTCTGCTGCCAGTACCAAGGTGCACCTGCAATACTGCCAGAATTCTAAAATTATTCAGAGTATAAAAAAAAAAAAAGAAAAAAGTTCTGCTAAGGGTGCGTCTGGCGTACTCAAACGACATTCTACCTGGATGTACCTGTAACACTGAGCAGCTATTATTGTAACCAAGTTCACCAACTGCAAAAGAAGTATGTTCATAGATAATACTACCTTCAGATAATTTACTACATCTCTTTCTAAATTAAAGTATACTATCAACTATGGATGCACATTGCTAGAATATGCAATTTTCTATGAAGAACTATCAAGTCCAGTACCCTGCCTCCCGTGTAACCTGTGTCTGATGCTTCAGAGGAAGACAATGACTGCATAATAAACCTTTCCAGTTGTGCAATAATGCATGCTGCTGGAGAGCTGGGATATTTCCGTCAGGCATAAAAAAAGTAGAACACTGGACAAAGACAAACATTTGACCTTCAAGAGTCTTTCTTTGTCAAATGCAGAGAGTAAGACAAACACATACACAACCCTGAACAATAATTAAAGCTATGTACAAAATTTTGACTCTTAAGACGTTACGGAACAGATAAAAAGAAGCACAAATGCAAAGAAAGGAAGGCACACTGAACTAAGAAATGACAAAAGAGCCTTAATTCATATAGCCAACCTGTGAATTCCTTCACAAAAAAAACCCTAATGAGATTAAAATTCTGTCTGATTTCACAGGGAACTTGATATGCCACTTGGAATTCTCTTCTAACTGAAGTAGCTTAAGGCTGGGATTAGATGTGTTCATAACGTTGCTCAACAAACTTCGATGTGACCTCTTAAACATCACACAACTTAAAACTATCGGGAATTAGATGCCTTCTTACCCACGTGGTCTTTGAAAAAAAAGAAAAACGACAGAAAAGTGTGGTGCTTATATCCCTTGAGATGAACCAATATATCTGGTGTACAAACTGAGTGAATTAATGAATTACATACATTTCAGGAGCCACATCAATGAGGAATGAATGTAGATATGTATCTTGAAAGATTAGGTTTACCTGCTAATAAACACACATATCAAGAGGCTTTAAAAACTGTTATAAATGCCATTAATGACTATAGGCACCAGACCAGAATATTTATAAATTCAAAACTGGCATGTCACTCAGACTCTAATCAATTTAAAGAGGCACTGTGAAAGGTGGTGATGCTGCTATGCAGTAATTACTACTACTGTAGAATGAAATAGTGTTACCTAAATGAATACTTGCTCTACATTAATTCCCTTTAGTTAGACAAGTACATGAAATATGCAGAAAAAGTTCTATTAGTCTATAAAAGGCGTTAGTGTTAAGAAATGCAAAGTACTTGCATCTTCAATTTTATAAACTTCACAAAAGGTGCAAATGATTTAATGCTTCCCAGGCTCACATAGGCAGGTCAGTACTGTTATGTCTAGTTTTCCTAGAAGTACCATCATCTCGGGGCAGTGCTTTTTGCAAGCTTGACATAGCAGCAGTTCGTTCAATGTCTATCACAGCATACAGCTCTGTGCGCCTGGTTGGAGTTTGCGGAAGTGGAGTGGTGGGGGTTTTTGGAGTCTGAGGGTTGTCGGAGTCACTACCACCTTCCAAGTCAACCTGTATATAGTTGAGCTGCCTGTGTTCTAAACTTGGACGCCTAATGTCAAAGTTAAAGACTGTGGGGGTACAGTCCCGACGTCGTGTAAATTCTATTTTATGAGCACTTGCTGGTACTGTTACATTCTCCGTATTGACATAATTATGCATTGGATCTAGGTTATTGTGGTAGCCATTCAAAGATGGGGTCTTTGGTCCTAAACTGTCATCTTCATCTCTACTCAGCTTGCGGGCTTCCCAGACAGGAGGCAAGGATGGCAAGTTCTCATAGTTCAACAGCGCAGTTCTCCTCTGAGCAGAGTTGTTAATGTTCTGGGTATCTGAGGTACTGGTTGATGTCAAACGACCTCTTCTGACCCCTGAGGCACTAGGGATTGATAGCCTATTTATATTTTCGTACACCAATTTGTTACCAGATGGCGTTTCTCTACGTTCATCACTGTCGTATCCAGTGTCCCATTCAGTGTTGTTTGTGCTGCTGCCGCTAACTTGGTCTCTCCCAAGTTGCTCCAGTTTCTCTCTTTCCATTAACTGCCTTTGAACAGGTGTTGGTCCTAAAACAAACTTGACTCCTTCAGGCTCCAGGAGAACCTGAGCATCTCTGTCATCAGTACAAATCTGATCTTCTTTCACTTTCGTTGTTTCAGTGTTTGAAAGCTTCGATTCCAGTGGCGCATGCACACTTGATCGATTTTTTCTCTCCTCTTGTACCCCAGTAGTGTTGACGTAAGTGTGCACCTGAAGGAAGAAAAAAAATTCAAATTCTAGTTGCACATTTTCATTTCTTAATTTCATTCCTTCCCAACTCCCCCCTTTTCTGATCAAAATACCTGAGAACCAAATATCACGATGGCAACTGTTTTAGAGCAAAGCTCCTCTTTCTCACATTTCACTGAGCTGTGCTCACCTTTCTTTTTTGGTTTTGTTGTTGTTTTTGTCAATGTTACTTTAAATAAAATTAGCAGTATTCAAGACAGACAAAATAATAACATTTACATTTCAAATTAATGATTGTTTTGATTTGATCTTTCATCTCAGTTGTGCTCTAGTTGCTGCTTTCCAGGTTCTATTCAAACTCCGCTCTGGTCAGGGCAACCCTGGTTTCTTAAACTCAGTTCATTAGCTCACTTGGAGAAATCAGTGAGGCAGAGTTCTGCTTTGATCTCCCTTACCATGAAAACAACCAACAGTTCCAGATTTGCTTTGGCTTAATTTGTCTTTGTAACTTCCATGCTGCAAAGGAAATTTATTGCCCGTTTAAAATCAGGACCGCGCCTTCTGTGTACCACTCAACCACTGAGAAGAGAGGTTGGCTCTGCTGGAAGAACAGTTCATTCTTTCTTCAGGAACCAACAGCCTTTAACACCAGAAGCTAAACAAAAACATACACTTCCACGTGACCTGTGGCACTCGGGATTAAAAATAAGCAGTTAACACCAGATGCCACCAAGGCAGGGAGGGATACACCACTGGTTTATCCCTCCAAGTTCCCACGGTGGATCAACATGAGGCTGAAAGGGAAAGGCTGCAGTAAAGAATGGCATCTCCACATTTACACTCTGTCTGCACACCCAAATAGCAGAGTATTTGACAGCAGAACTCACCCAGCCTTCACAACTTCAAGCTCTACAAACTGCAGTGCTATTTACAGCTCACTTGACTCCTCGCTGGTTCTTTAAACTGATTTAGTCTGCAGTAACTCCAGCAACACCTGGACTCTTCTGTGCTGGCTTCTACCAAATGTCTCCCAAAAAAATTCTACACTGTTACCTTCTCTGTTACCTTTTGTTACCTTCTCTGGCTTTCAATGCTGCTTCTGGTCACGCATAACAATCTTCTGAAGCCAGATTACATTTTATTAAATTTGACTAACGTTTTCATCAGCAACAGGAAGGATGAGATAGAACACACCTTCAGAAAGTTTTCGGGTTTTCCCAGATTGGTAGGGATTCCCATTGAGGAGGATCTCAGCAGCCTGGAGAACTGACCTCACATAAGCCTCATGGAGCTCAGCAAGGCAACCTTAAAGCCCAGCACAGAATAACACAGTACAGGCTGGGCACCAACTGACTTGAAAACAGCCTTGCAGAAGAGCACCAGGGATCCAGGTTGAAGGTGAGCCAGCAGTGGGCCTTTGCATCAAGGAATACCAAATGCCAACTGGTTTGTGTCAGTAAAAGCACAGCCAGTAGGTTAAGGAAAGTGGTAATTATCCTCAATTCTGTACTGCTGATACTGAATCTGGAGTAATGGGCTCCGAGTACAGGAAAAACATCATCGTACTGGAGCGAGTCCAGAGGGGCTGGAACAAGTGATATACAAGGAGAAGCTGAGACAGACAACTCTCTTCAGTCATAAGAGAAGATTAAGAAGCAATTTAATAGTCACTTCGAACTACTTTTAGACAATTAAAGAGAAGATAGAGCCAGACCCTTTCTGGAGATGTTCACCAGAAGGATAAGGGGCAATAGACACCAGCTGTAACAGGAAAAAAAGTGATTACATATTAGGGAAAAATGCTTTCAGAATAAAGGTGGTCAAATGCAGGAACACGGCTCAGAGATGCTGTAGGATCGCCTTGCTTGTACTATTCAAAGCATGACAAACAAGGCTCTGTGCAGCCTCTCCTCTCACTTCAAAAGTGGACCTAGAGAACTGTAGAGGTTGCTTTTAACCTCATTTTTCCATGATTTGCCAAATAGAAGACTTGCACGTAAATAAGTTTTTGACCAAGATCTCTCATTGTAAAGTCCAACTTAGGTATTTAAAATTAGCTTCTGAAATTTTTGAAAAGAGCATAGGGAAATATATTTATATACAAATGAAGACATAGTAAGTACAAAAATTTTAAGTAGTTATGCTTCCTCAGTGATCTGTCCTACCAAGCATCATAAAGAGGCAAAACAAGTACTTTTTCTAAGTAGTAGCTCAGGTGTGGTAGAAATACATTATACCTAACTCTGAAAAACACAAAAATGAAAACACAAGGCTACGGAATTCACAGTGAAAAACCCTGAACTGAAGTTGAGCCTGAATTGGGGGGTGCGTGGGGGAGAATATACCCACTTGTTCCTCTGCTACAAGTAGAGGATGTGTTGATTCTTCACCGACAGAGGGGAGGCGTGCACTTCCGACAGAAGGATGCCTGCTGGAAGGATGTGATGAAGCATCTCCAAAAGATGGGTATCTGGGATAGCCGTTAGGTAAACTTTGTGCATTGAACCCAGGAGCTGATTCGAGTAGAAAATAAGCAAAACCATATTAAAATTGAACATTTTACTGTATATGAGTTGTACGTTTTATGTATTTATCTTCAATTTTCACAAGAAGTCAAAATATGTAAAACAGTTTAAATATTCACCAGACAATTTTGCTGGGGGGTAGTATGGGGGTTAGAGAAAGCAAATTGCCGAGTAGAGCATCCCAGTATTTAAGGGGAAACACGTCTGAAGTAACCACTGAAGTCTAGGTGTATAACCACAGCTTTCTCAATAAACTCCCTGTCCAGCTCCTTTTGCTACCATTAACAACAAATACCCCTTTAAAAAGGGGGGTGGGGGGGAAATGGACAGATGATGACTTCTTTATTTAAGCTTCTATTTCTCTGAACTCATCACCAATATGCAATTTCTAGTGTCAGATGTCTTGGTATCTGCCTGGGATTACCTAAAATCTCCCAGCAGTTTTGATAAGACTTCACTCTATCCATCCATATCCACAGCAAAAGATTTCAAATCCCCTGTAGATGTGATGTTACCATTACCTTTTTCCTAACAAAAAGGTTGGAGCACTGACTAATAGTAAAATTCCTCAGAAATGCTAGAAGTAAAATATGGTGATGTATAATAAAACAACTGAATTAAGTATATGGTTAAACAGTGCTCTTGTGCAAAAACTAAGTTCCCAAAGCTTACTCCTTAAAGCTGAAGAACTTGTCTACAAACATTTTGCTCCCAGGACTTGAGATTCTGGAAAGCGAATCCTCAGCAAGTACCTCAAAAGAATTCATTGCTGGTAATTAACCTCCTAGCTGAAAATAGCATTTAATTTGCATTAAATCTTTAAGTAATTAAAAAAAAGTCTATTTTAAAGCTAAGTACCACATTAAATTCAGGTTTGTCATTTGACAGTATAACCATACTTACTGGTAGGCGTTCGAGGGGTTCTTGGAGCTTCCAACTCAGTTTGATGGTTATTCCTTTCTACTACTGGTTCTTCTACCACGTTTATGCTATTATTCTGCATTATCTCTTGCAACATATTAAATAGCTCTTCTGCACGGGCACATTTAAAGGCAAAGATTCCTATAAATACACAAGAAAAAAAATCAAAATCCTTTGTAAGAAACATGCCTTAGAATACATATAGCTTTCACGTAATAAAACTGGAATCCGTGTAACGAATACCTGTTGAAGAAGCAAAAAAGTTAAGAAATCTTTATTGTACAGAACACATACAAATACAGCGAGACCCTTCCAAGTGTTTATCTGATAGAATAATTTTCCCATGCACCAAAAGTTAAATTGGAACAGAAAACTGGTTCAGTTAAAACCAAAAGTAAGTTCTGAAGGCTAAATGAGGAATAAAGTAATAATAATTAAAAAAAAAAAAAAAAAGGGTACCTGTTAAATTAAAAAAATACACTAACTGAAATTACTGTGGTGCTACAAGGTCACATTTCTTAAGCCAGATTTCTGTTAAACTACCATAAGAATAAGACATCAGCACAACAGGAAAGAAGGATTCAAACACTGTGCAAAAGGTTTTTTTGTTTGTTTGTTTTTTTAAAGATTAAACTAAAAAGCTAGTAAGACAAACTGTGTGAAACAGACAGTAACAAACCAATTGTCTTAGGCTAAAGGATAGACACAGAGCACAAAGTTAGCAGCAATACCGTGTATTTGGAGTGTGTATTGTGCCACTTTGCTTTTAAACAGCAGGGAGCGCCCCAACTTACCCTCACAAGCAAAGTCGCAGCTTTGGATTATTCTTCCATTGAAAGCATGAAGTTAAAGTTGACATGCTTGTTAAACTTGGGTGCAGGTGCTCGTTTTTTAAAATGAGTATTACAGTCTTAAAATTACACTCTTTACTAAAAACTACCTACCTATAATGCTATTTCTGTAAATGCAATTATGTCAATATGCTGGCAATTACTAACATCACTTTATTTATGGACACGGAACTGAGAAAGATCAGAATTATCAGAAACACTCCACATGGCAGAAGCTCACAAAACCTAGCTGGGAACAACAAATGAGGAATGATGATCAACAACTGATATTCGGCTGGTGCAAGCTTCATGCTTGCAATACAGCAGCTGTAGAGCTGCTTCTACTACTTTTACCTAACCAATAATCCAGCTCAAGTACAATAGCCTATATTTAATTTTTCCTGTATTTCCAGAAACTCACACTGGAGCCTTAAACCTTTAAACCTTTATTAAAAACAAAAAACAAAAAAACCTCCTAGCTGCCTGTGTCCCTTCTCTTTAAAAAAAAGTGCTTCCAAATTGCTAATTCTTTAAAATACAAGGCAAGCTGAATTGGCACTAAAAGTGCAAGCAAAAGTAACTTTGTGGAACCTTGATTTTTTATTAAATACATTTGCAATAAATACAATATAATCTGTGGTGTATATAGCATGGAAACAGTAATTCCTCTAATTTCTCTATCCTGAATTATGTATTAGCTGTGCTCCCAAAACGTATCTTCAAGGATTTCAATACGTCACACAAACTCTGTGTTTTACCACCAGTGCATTCTGACAATATATCAATATATAATATCTGAGATTAAGTGGAAAACTACAAACAAGAATACTGATTAATTCAATCAGTTGTAGGGCATTATTCAGGATATTCTCAAATGAAAAACTTCTTGGTCATCTGACCAGCTGAAGATGAAGTTTTGCAACTGTGCCCACAAATACTAGTGTAGGTCTCAGGAACAATGCTCCATTGCAAAACGGCAGCAGAGAGAACATTTTTTGCCAATTTCTTTTTTCTCAATATTCACAGTATTTAATATTACGTAAGGAAGGCAAGAAACAAAAGAGGGAAGAAAGGGTTGCTGCTCACACAGTCTGCTTAATCGTCTCTATTTAAAAAAAAGGAAATTAGGGGGGAGGTGGAGAAGTCAATTAGAGTCAATGGGAAATCCTGGCTGTGGAAAAGAACCTTCAAAATTGTCTTTTCAATTGAATTTTATTAGTATTTATTTTACACATTTAAAAGAAACAGTAAATTAAACCTGCAAAAATCAAAGTGTGGTTTTTTTCAAAACAAAAGATCATGATTTTCTCCTTAGAAGTCAGGAAATTTAGTTTAATATGCAGTATACTGTAACATTGAAAACATCTCTATTTCTTATTAGCAGCTGAATCAAGAATGCTTTCTTAATTCTTCTTGTAAAATAACTACCTGCCCTTACCTCTGCTTGGACAATGAAGATTGACCAAATTTGTTTATGATCAAGTTCTTTCATGTTCCTGATTTTTTACAGTGAAGTTAAAAAATATTTTGTAATTGCAAATATTGTTATTTATAAAAAAAACTAGTACATGCTAAAAATCTGTAAGAAAATAAAAACACAACTGAATTTCACAACATACCAATACATAAGAATGTCAGGTACATAGAGCTGCATCATGACAGGAAGATGGAAAATGAGGCACAGAGCTCAACCAATACAGTTGTTGCACCACCGGGGACTGCTGTGGTGAATAGAGATTGAAAAGCCTCTTAGCCAAGGCAAGGGATGACCTGGCAACTGGAAAGGTAGCTGTCCTTCTGATTAAAGCCACACAGAAAGTAACTAAGCATAGCTGGAGTCTGCATTCTGAATATCAAAATTTGTAAAAATTTGAGAATGATGTCCTTGAAATAAATCGGCAGTGTTTGTTTCAGGAAGAGGTTGAAACAAGTGTGTTAGTGAAGACCGTAAGTAGGTAGGGATATCCAGTTCATTCCAGCGCTCTAGTCTCTTAAAAATGTAAAAATAGCAAAAACTCTGAATTCTGAGAAGATTCCCCCATGGTTCCAGGTTTCATCACCCTTCCTTGAAAGTCAAATCAACCTCTGAGATGGAAGAATTTCCCTGTCAAAACCACTCTCTGAGTTGACCACAACTATCAACGCATACAGCCATGGAATATTCCAGATCAAAATCTATAAGTAACTCAAACCCTCATTTTGCCATAAGACCATCCAACTTACTTTTTTCCAGAACCTGCATTCATATATAAAACTACATCTTTTATAACCCTTGCCAAAGGTCAAGGAAGTACACACTAAATAAATTAATAAACAAATCTCCCAACATCGAATTACTTTCTAAACATCTTTGTGTACAAAAATTCCACATACCTTGTCCAGTTTGACACCTTCGACCACTTTCAAAAGAGAAAAGATTTGAGTCATAGCCATAGCGACGGAGACAGAGGTAGTGCCATTTTACAGAGTCCCTTTTGCGGGTGTACAAAATTAGTTCTGTATCTGTAAGTTCCATTATGCCAGAACCCAGCTCATTACCATCATCATCCACGTTAATAACCTGCAAAAAGGAAGTTCAACAGCATCAGGTAAGCATTCTTTTGAGCACCAGTACTACTACTGTGATCTTAATGTTTCACTAATGCACTCCCGTCTGCTCCATCATAGGAGTTATGATCCTTGAGGTAAAAGTTTAAAAAAACCTCACCAAACCAGTTCCTTTGCTCCTCCAGCCCAGAATTAAAATAATACATATTTAACAGCAGTGAGTGAGACTAAATAACATCATTGCAAAATCCGTGGTGATATTTAAAATAAGAGATTTGTAAGTTTAATGATTTTTTAAAGCTGACTGTATGTACATATTCTAGTATTTCCACACAGATAAGGCATACCCCAGATAATTAAATCGTTCAGAGCACTGTTTCAAAAAAGATTATTTGCTTTGTCATATAACCCCACTTACAGTTGGGAAAAGGAATGAAAAAGGAGACGGGTCTCTAAGATAAAGCTACCCTCACATACCTGTAGGGCCTTGCACTGCGCTGAATCGCCAGACTGGTCTGGATTTTTTTTCCTGCCTTTTTAATGTCAACAAATAATTCAAATACCCTGTGGTTATCTTGTGTGAAAACATGATGCATATAAAGCTTATACTCTTATTCCTTCTGCCTTTACACCAGTTGGAGGTCTTCTGCATCCCTTAAGGAATCCTGACATGTATTTTCCCCCAGATGCGTTTTATCTCACAACGCTGCTTTCAGTGGGATTCCTTCTTACTCAATAAAAAGGCTACAAAAAAGCTTCCCTATGGTATCAATTAATTTTACTCCTTAAAGAGCCGTTTTCAACTTGAAAACTAGTCATTTAAAAAGAATTAAGAATAGTTTCATCTGTCACTGAAGCCTATGCCAAATGTCTTCATTTTGCAAACTACATTCTTTCATCTTCTCCCCCCTGCTGCTCAATCAGAGACCCACACGAACAATAGAGAGATGCTACGAGGAGAAAAGGAGGAACTGGCTGAATAAAGCTAAGTCAAATGCATCAAAAGCAAGAACACGAAAATATTTTATCCTTCAGCTCTTTGTACTGATAATATTAAATATTTCCAGAATTTCCCATGGTTTTCAAGCTCATTTCAGGGTTGCCCTCAGGCAGTGCATGAATCATTTTTCACTATGGAAGCGTTGCATTCCTTTGCCAGCTCACGGAGACAGTTTGGAGCACAGAAGCAGAGCCGAGCTGTGTGACTACGCAAAGGTATGTTTACTTAAAGGCACTGACTTCAGCGACTTCACATTAAGCACAGGAACAAGTGTTCACAAGCTTATAAATTCCAGGGGTATATATATGGGACAGAAGCACGTATAGAAATGAAGTTTATTCAAGTAATGGAAAAAAAGTTCTCCAAAATGATATAATCAACAGTGATCTTCAACTAAAATCAGTGGTCCTCACATCTTCCATTGCTGACCCTACCTCCAGGTTCATAGGCACAGCTCTCCAGCAGCTCTTCCATTATGCCTGTGACCCCCTCATATGGTCCCAAACCTCCCAGAGGTAACAGCATTTAACTGGGCTCCCAGCTGAAACTGGGACAGACCAAAATCATGGGGCTGCTTCTCCCACCTGAAGATCGAAACTGTCATGACAAAACCCAGCCTGTCTAAAGAATTCCTGTCACTGCCAGTAAGAAAGGAGTCTCAAGGGGAAAAAAAAAGAGAAACCTGCAGCCAGACACCTGCAGGTCTGTAATGGTTTAACCATTGGGTAATTCTCTCCCTATTTTCGTTTAAGTATTTTCCATCACAGACTTACCCCGCAAGAAAGCAACAAAATAATTCACGGCATACCACACCAGGTGCTTACCTTAAACTTGTTTCGATGGTTATCTGGGACAGTTTCTTTATCTGGACAGCTACAACAGCTACCCATGACTTCTTTAGAAGACCATGTGATCTCTAAATTAAAAAGAAAAAAGCAAACCACAACCAAACACGGTGATCACTTAGTTGAAGTAAAAATAGAGCATCATCAACAGAACAACACAATACAAATTTCTGCCTAGATTACAAATTTTCATGATGAATTTTGCAGTCAGAAATAATAAAAAATAATATCTAAGAGCTGTGTTAGATTTGGCATTGAGAACTAACTGCACAAAGCCCTGGAAGACCTACCAACAATTCCACTCGATGTCACTACCAAACAGACCCACTGATCTTGATTGAGCCTCTCACCTTAACTCCCGTAGTAGCATTTGAGGGAAATAAAAAAAGAAAAGAACAAATGCATTGGTTGCAATTCTCTCTCCTAAACCAAGGTCTTTATGGAAGGCACTACCTGGATCCCAGTTCCACCTAAACGAGCACTCTCCAGCCTGCTGCTGAGCACAGCCCTGGCTGACTCCTGTCCCAGCCCAGGGCTGCAGGTTACCAGGCAGAGGCAACACAAAGAGCCCGCAGGGCAATCCTGAAAAGCTGCCCTGCTTTGGGCAGCTCCAGCGCCCACATTCAATAGGGGGTGGAGGCACGCGGGGCCTGGAGGCAGCCCTCTGCTCAGCTTCTGTGCTCACAGTTTGAAGCACTTCCCATGTAGCAAAGCACATACAACTAACGAAAGGCAAGGGAAACAAAGCTCCATGATCAACACAAATATTTTAACACTAACTTTTTAAATTCCTATTATGTTACCTTTGGATTAGATTATGTTATGCAGCTTACTTACTTGTTAAAAACAACATAATAACTCAACTAACTCCATGGCTAAATTAAGAAAAATAATATTTTATATTCTTGGTATTCTAACTGAAAAAAAAAATTGTATGTATGGTAAAGCTTTCACAGAGCAACAGGATAAAAGTGTTACAGAACCAAGCCTCACAACTTTCTTCTCCTACCACCTCACTACAGATCAATCTTAAACTCTTAAGAAGGTCAGATAAAAGGAAACTTACCCATTTACACAAGCTGTATATTGGATAAGAACTACAATTTCCACTACACAAATGAAAAGTGGGTCAAAATCTTGGAAGAGAGCTAGTAAGCAACAACAGGTATGGCATTTAGAGTCAAGAAGAAGCAGGGCAGAACTTCTTCTGACAGAATGGGAAAATCAGATTGCACCTTAGGAAAACTTGGACTCACTTTCTAGCCAGGCATTTGTGTTAGTGTGCAACAGCAGTATCCACTTAGCACTTTATCCTGCTGAAAAATAAGGTGCAAGGCATACCGTGAAGTTCAGCTAACTATGCTGGACCAGACAGGCCACGCAAAAGCGATATTGCTACCCTAGAGACTGCAGACGTCTGTCAGTGGCCACCAAAGCCCTGCAGAGGTGAAATGAAGAACTTAGCAGAAAGGCTGACAATGTGGCTTAGATTAATCCAGTAACAAAGAGGCAGACAGCCCGACGTTGTCAAAACTCAATGGATTCTCTGATGTCATTCCTGGCCATAGTGTAAAAACGCGCATTAATTTGACAGAGCTTTTTTCCCAACCCAACAGCGAACTAGGTTGTTGTTTGCTTCTACTACAACAGAAAGAAGCTGTGCTACACACAACTGGTTGGTTGTTCTTGCACAGTGAAGAGAAGCCTTCAATTTTCTTAATCAGTCCGATCAACCTCTCAATTACAGACTGCTTCCAACAGTCTCCATACAGGTATCTTGTTATTAGACTAACTACTCGTTTCTTTGCTGAAGCCTTCTGCCCGTTCTGTTCAGAAAGGAAGATACAGAACATCTTCTGTAACTAGTTTCCTACCCTGGCACCCCACTTTGCCTCACTATGTAGATGTTCAGATGTTGGTCTTGTCACTCGATTGACGATGCCCAATTTATTCTGAGATTACAGTGCTAAAAGGAGCAACGTGTGAAACAGCTGCAGTGCAGATTAACAACAAATGCAATACAAATTTGCAGCAAAGGTTTTCAAGCTCTGGTCTCTACAGCACTAAATTGCCAAACAGAAGCATTTACTAGCCTTCAAATACAGATGCTCACACTTAATAAAGCCCAGTCTTCAATTTCCTCAAAACCTTATGAGAAAGCAGAAATAGAACTAAATAGCAGCACACTGTGACAGTAACGTGACATCCTTTGCACTCACCATAAAGGTAAATCAATAGTAAACTGAATAGACAATAAAAAAATTAACTGCAAAGTAGTTTGGGAGAAGTATATAGAGTTGCAAATAAAAAGATGTAGTAGATGAAGAAGTCTGAAATATAGCTACTATGTCTCAAGAAAGACAAAGAAAAGGGATGTAATCAACATTAATTGTAGACACTTGTTATTTCATATCCAATATTTTAATATTAATATTTTGGAATACCGAGAACCATCATGCTGCTTCAAAGCTGAGATGGGAACTAAGGCAATGAGGAAGAAACGAAACAAGCAGGGAGCCGACAACGTTCACATCACTCACCTAGATTTGGCCATTAATATTCCCAGCCTCTGTTGCGGCATCAGGGGTTCTGTCATACTTCAAAGTGTCATGCTGTCTTGTCACAGAACTAATCATTTGACCTAGAACTAGAAAAGTACATAAAAAATGTTTTGTTTTTTCTTGTTTTCTAGACACCAGTTAGTAAACGATCAGAAATACACGAGGCCCTTTTATTTTGGCGTCATTACGTCAAGTGAGGTCTCCACGGTTAGGCTGCCTCTTACAGGGAACTTTAGACCCAGCCTCATCTCTTCGAGCTCCCCGAGCATTTCCATGGCCTACCTGGCAATGACATCTCCCGTTACCCTCAGCACATGCCGAAACAAACAAACAGACTCACAATTTACTCCGCTCAAGTCCCTCTCGCTCATCCTACTGACCACACACATATGCCACCTATAACACATCGCCCTTTCTTTGCACCCCTCATGGCTCTTGCTCCACGGCATTCACCACAAATTGCTTGCTTTCACTTTTACTTTTTGCCTGGGTTACCCTCATACCAGCTGCTGCCCTCTCGCATTTACCCCTGAAAGCTCCATGGCTGCTGGCAGCTGGCAGCCACCATCCTCTGTTTGGAAAACTGCTGAAAAACTCTTCACGTTTTCTTTGACACTGCTTCTTCAGCCAACGAGAAGGGCTAAATTCTCACAAAATCATGTTATTTAGCCACTTTCTTACCAGCCTTTCAGGGTGTCTGTGCAAACCACTGCAACCTCTGCCTCACAGTTCAATGAAAAGCATTTTCAGAAGCTAAAGCACCTTTCTTTTTTGCACAGCATCAAACGTAACGTAGTCCCAAGCTCACCCCTGGTCCTGGCATCACAGTAACACGGTAACTTATGGGAATGAGTTCCAAAATTGTACAGGTTCAGAAAGTAATTGGACAGATGCAAGGAAGAAAAATCAATAAATACCTCCGTAACGAGCTTTTAAACTCAAGGATGTCCCATTGGGCTCAAAGAGTCTGTGAGCTGCAGTTTCTGGGAAGGGCATTAAGGAATGACCATAAAACACTGGTTATTGTTATTCCCTTCCCTATATATTTCCTACTGACTACTGTAAGAAGCAGGATACTAGACTGATTACTTCAGCCTGACACGAAAAAGCTCTTCCTAGCTGGCAGAAAAAGGATGACAAGGACTGAGCATAAATTTTTAAGTACATCGGTCACACAATATTAAAAAAGAAATAGTCTACTACTTGTATTTAAATTGAAACTAAGGCGTAGATTCCACAAAGGCACAGAAGGACCTTTCTGGAGTGCTCTACGGACACAGAGATTTGCATCTACACCACATGGGTTCTCTCCTGTGTCCAACTGGTATTTAGGATCAGGAACTTGCAGCCAGTCACGTACCCTTCATATAATTTACTTGCCCTTTAGCCACAAGCCTTCTTGGTCTTAGCCAAAACTGTATGCAATTGTGTATTCAAGATCAATCCCCGTGCAACACACACAGCTCTGTGTCTGTGATGGCCCTACCCAATCTGTTCGAGTACACACAGATTTGTAGGTGAGGTCAGATTTTTGTTGACTTTAGCACATCAAACCAGCTCAGCAGAGAGATCAGCCGGTACCTGAGCCAGCTGGGGACAGGATGACAAGGGGATGACCTCTGCCAGTGCTCAGAAAACCCAGCCCTTTCACTAATACTTTACTTAGTTTAACAAATTAACCTGCTCGAACTTTCAAGGAAGGGAGAGAAAACAGAGAAAGCAAACAAAAAAAAATTACCCACTATCTCTGGTGGACTGTGTTATCTGTCAAATCTTGCAGGTAGTCGTAAGAATTATATAGAAAACAAAAAATCACATGCAAATCACAGTAATGCAGGTGTCTGCGGTGATATTTACGCTGGTATTTTACTAGCAGAGTTTGAAAGCCTTCCCATGGTTTGACTACGTACGGTAGCCTACCCTGCTTTGGTTACACAGGAATTCTTAAATGGCCCAAATGCAGCTTTTAATGGGTAAATGAAAGCACACAGACTTATAGCACCTACCTTCTTTTAAATGTAAAGCAATACCAGAACTCTCCAGCAAGTTGTTTTCAATTACGAGCTGGGTTTTGCTTAAGAGTTATTTACTCAATTTGGGATTTTCTTAAATCTTCCCAGATTGCAAAATATTTACGCAAACTTCCACACGCGAGGAGAAGTAGGCATTTTCAGTCACAACTGTAAAAGTTAATCTTCTCAGTTATGTCTACAATGTCAGGCTTGGGAGCTGTAATTTCCCCTTCATGAAGCATCAGCGGCCACGGGGTGCAGTCATGCAAGGACGGAGAAGGGGCAGGAGAGGATTTTGGGCTTCTTCCCAGCACATCCATCAGCGCATCATGAGGCAAAGATGGCAGGAAAGACAAAGCAAGACCTGCGCTTATTTACATCTTGTGAACAGGAGGGAAAATTAGGAACTGCCATAAATCCAGTAAGACTTATTTGTTGGATTAGTAACGTTAGTTGGATTAATTTCCTTCATAGACTATGCAGACAGTCAGAAACCCTGAAAATCTGAATAACATTGGCGTTTCAGCAGCCTGTCCTGGGCCGGGAATGGTCTGAACAACGTGTGCGTTCCCCTTGTGACCCGAAAGCCCCGTGGATGAGCAGCAACCTCCCTCCTCGTGCTCAGGCGGACTGGGAGCCCCACTAAAGTCAGGAGAGTAAAAACCCCGAAGCACAGCACACTTCAGAAGAGGCAAGGAGAAGCGACGGCTGGAAACCCATCTCTTGGGTGTGTTGTCTTCCAAGCGGCCTCCCAAAGCCCCGAGCTGCCACGCTGCCAGGCCCTCTGCATCTTGCTCTCAGCCCCATTGCGTTCCCCATCACCCAGTTGGGAAGCCGGTGCCTACTTTTTAAATCTTAAAGCATCAGTATCCATAGTTTTCAAAGACTGTTTCTCATTTAGCATATACATTATTTATTTATTTATTTATTTTTAATCCCAGCAACTACAACACAGAACACCCCCGTGCTTCTACATGTATTTCTTACTCGGATTTCAAATGCTTGCTTAAAAAGGTAAAAACAAAATATATATTATCAAATTCTCTACATTTAACATCAGTGTTGGTGTTATGACAAAAGCAAACAGAAGTACTGCAAGTTTAGCAGGCATATGGGAACTGCAAACTCATTCAGAGACGGATAGATCACCACCAGGGGCACTTCACCTTTTTTGTTAATTTCTGTCACAAATTCTCTTTAGCATGCTAAGTAGAATAATATTTTTCAAATCCTTAATTATTTTTAAAACATGAAACAGCACATGCTGCCATGCCTGGCTTCACATGTGTTTTTTCTTCAGTAACAATGCAGGGATGAAACCCTCATAGCCCAAACTCTGCTGATTCCTAAAACATTTCCCCAAATGTGTCCCGCAACCATTGTCAAGTGTTAGCCATGGTTTAACTCCACTTGAAACAAGTTGGCCAACACCACCGCTAAAATCATGACAATTCCGACAGCTCAGAAATTAAGTCTAAGATTTTTTCCAGCTGCACCAGCATCATGACACTCGAACGCTTCAGAGCTGCGGAACCCCAGGCTTCTCACAGCTGTTTGCTGTCAAGAACAAACAGAAAGGCTACATTCAATCTGAAGTTTCATTACCATGCTCTTAAAAATACAATTTATATGAATGGTTTTCAACACCTGCTTCTTTCTTAACTCTGTAATTAATGCTCAGATCAATCGAGTAAACAAAAAGAAAAAAAAAATAGGATATTAGTTGTACTTGACAGCCTCAGCATAAACCCTGAAGTTTTTTGAAAGGCTCAACAGTGGGAGGGGAGCAGAGGGAACATGAAACGTACGGGCTGTCTTCTGCACCAAGCTGAGGAAGGTTTCAATTTCATAGCTGACTTCTGGGAAATAAATTCAAGTTATTTTTGGGGGACAGTTGAATGACAAACATTTATTATAAAAAATCTCAGACATCTTCAAATTCAGTTTTCTTTTTCTTTTTCTTTTAGCTGCAGCATTTTGTTCACAAGCTTTTCTCTATTTAAAGTTACCTGCCAAATAATCGTAACAGTGACCAAACAGGAGATGAACCTCCTGCCATTTGGGGTTCTTTTTGGTTTTTAAAAGTTGAGGTTATCTAGGGTTATCAGACACATCTTAAGAAAAGAACACGGTAACTTAGAAGTAAGTATTCTGCTGAAACCAGTGTTTATGGGAGCAAAAAAGTTTAGAAATGTGGCTAGTGTTTCCTCTTGAAGTTCTTAAGAATCCCAAAAGAACAGACCCCACAAGCTATTTCTAACTCAAATTCTCCCATGCTTTGACTTACATTTGCCACGTAGAAGATAAGAAAGGGATTTTTTTTTAACTTACGCCTGACTTTCTGTCCTAGGGTGATCAGTGCCAGGCATTTTTCATCACAAAGCGCTCTCCTTGCAAGAATGACTGGCACCAGACAACACAACAGAAATACAGAAGTTTGCCTGAAGACCTCCCAAAACCGTGCCCTTCACAGAAACCTTGCTGAGAAAATAACCTGTGTAAAGCAGAACAAGTGGTAGCGAAGAGCTGAAGGTCCTCCTCTCACCCCTCTTTGCTTTCCCCCAGGTAGGAGGAAGCAGCCTGAAACTAAAGCAGCAAGTGGGATTCAACTGAACGCTTTTCTTTCTGAAAACCCATCAAGTCTCCACGAAGACAGAAACAAAGCCTGGTGAATTTGCAGCTTACAGGTACAATTTGCTCTCCACAGAGAGCTGGCCCAAGCCCAGAGGGGCTCTTTCTGCTGCTGCCTTCAAGTTCAGGAACTGACAGAACTGACGGCAACAAATTATTTGTACCTATGCAAAAATACGTGCAAATTGCTCAGGATTAAGGAAAACTCCCCCTTCTCCCTTCCTCCAAGCATGTCAATATTGTCACCTCTCATAAAACTCCTTAAAAATTGACCATTGTACTTCTCCAGCTATTAAGATACCTAACACTTACAACCGCACTGCAGAACAGACCCATTACATTTCTAGCATTTCCCTGTTCTAGACTTTTTAATTTTTAATTTTAAAAGTATCTAACTCAAGTGGGAGAAAAAGAAATAAAAAAGGAAATTCTGTACTGCAGAT